ATTTTGTTAAAGAAGATACAGCGGTGTGTTTATTATAAAAGCCAGGAGGAGAAACAATCCAGGGACTGTTTGCCATACTGAATGTCACATATTGAAAACTCAGAGGTGGCATCACTAATTTGTTTCATGATCACACATCCATGGTGACAGAATAAGTCAAGGGAAAAATAGTGTGAGAGAGTTGTTGAAGCAATCTAAGCAATTTATTGGCAAAAAGAATTCTGTTATCAAGGTTGCAAATAAGTCATCAATTATAGGCATGGAGGTGCACCAAAGTGTTCCTTAAATTTCTGCTTGCTTGCTCAAGCATGCTGCCTTCTCAAGAGTGTGCCTTGAATCCATAATAGCTGGAGAAAATTTTAAAAGTAATGGAAGAAGTGCTTACGTAATTCATTTCTAAATCAACAGGGGACTATGTTTTTGATGGTTTTGGAGCCTGGAGGCAGAAGGCTGTTAGCAATGGTGACTGTGCTGGCAGCCCGCACCCTCCCCAGTCCGAGTGGCGCTGCTGGATACTGGGCCGCAGGGCGGGGAAGCCTTGAGATCAGACAGCTCCACTGACCACCCTGTGTGTCCGAACGCCTCCATTCTGGGGAACACAAGATGCTGTTATGTATTTTCTCATTATAATGAAGTCTCTTCTCTCTGCTCCCTAGAGGGAAGGCAGTTTATCGTTAGACATTCTACAGTTGATCCTGCTCTACTAGGTAACTCTGGGCAGGTTACTTAAACTCTCTGGGTCTCAGTTTACTCATCTGTGTACTGCGCTGGCTATTCTAATAGTGCTTTGTTCATAGGGTTTTTTTTTTTTTTTTTTTTGAGGAGCGAATGAGATAATGTCTGTAAAGCACTTGGCACAGTGCCTGGCGTGCATTAAGGACTCAACAACAACAAAACCAGAAAAAGTATTAGGGTTTTTAATAAATAATCAGACATTTTTGAGGTCTTGATGCCAGTTACACACTGCTCAAGGCTGTCCTGCTGGGTGAGGACATCTGCATGTTCCCAATTAGATAACAGTGGATGAGACAGTCTGATGAATTGGTTTCACCATTTTGGCCTTAAATGCTTGGGCCCCATTTTAAAGAGCAGCACATATTAATAATTCAGGTGTTACCGACTTCAGTGTCAGGGGCAGGGTTGTTCTCTGGTCTCCCAAGAGAATGAAGAGCGTGCTCATTGGAGGGTGTGCTGATAAGAGGGCCCATGAGACCAAGCTCTAATTGTGAAGACAGGCTTGTGTGTGTCACTGGAACCTGGGAAAGTCTTGGGAGGCAGGATGTCTGGTCAAAGAAGCTCTGGAGTTACGACGTGGGTTTGTATCCCAGCTCCTTGTATACAAGTGTGTGGCTTTGGGCGTGTTGCTCATCTCTCTAAATCTCAGTTCCCTCATCTATAAAAAGGGAAAAATACATAATTTGCAGAGTTGTTTTAAGAATAAAATAATGCAATGTATGGAAAACACCTGCTGCATGGTAAGCACTTTGTAAGTAAGGGCTATTATGATCCTATAAGTAAGTAAAGTACGGTCACGACAAAATGTGAAATACATTAGTGGTAATTGACATTGTTTTGTGACAAAACAATCCTGTGAGACCAAATTCTCAGAAAGAATGGCAAGATACAGACAGAATGTTTGATTTGCAGCTTGGCAAATGGGTGAAGTTCATTCTGGGAAATGGTTTATGGTTTGGATCAAATCCCTGTCCCAGGTAACAAGCTCCCACTGCCCTGGGAAGACCTGATCTAGGGGAAAGTGAGGGGCAGGTGGGGGTGCATGAGGAGCAGACCTCCCCAGCCAAGGGAAGATCAGAGATGAACCCCCTGTGGACGGGATCCCTATACATTGTGAATGGCCATATAGGTCAGGCTGTAAGGATGATGTCACACACAGCTCCAAGGGAGGTGTGGGCCAGCCTCCGTGGTGTGCGGGGGGGCACCTATTTCCCCACTCAAGACCTTTCTGCAGCAGGAAGCTGTGTGTTAGGACACACAGCTTGTGGGACAGTCATGGGTCCTAGAACCCAGAGAGCAAAGGGACTCCAGTCTAGGAATTGTCCAGGGGACATGGAGGTGGGAGAACCAGGACAGGGACTTTGAGAAATCAAAGAAGACTGTGGCTGGTTCTCCTCCCATCCCGACTCCAGTTGTTTCTGCATCTGAATAATTTTAGAGAAACCCTAAAGGTGACTGCTGCAGAGCCCTAATGATATGGAGACACATTTTCTAGAGAGAAAAGCCTCCATTCGGCAGAGAACTCTGATCACCTACCATAGAATAAACATGAATGGAACTTTCTAAAACATGGCGGTGGGAGTAGACATTGCTGCAGCTGTGTCCACCAGCAGCTCATTGAGAATAAAAGCTTCCTGAATATGGAAAGCTAGCGGTGCCTATCATCACCTTGGGAAACCAGCCCGGGAAAAGGCTGAGGGACTGGGATGGTGCCAGACATTGCTTGAGAGGGTAGCAGTGTTTGAGTGGGCCCTTTCTCCCCTTTTAAGATGTATGCTCCCACCTCCACTCCCAGAGGAAATGAAAGCCCGTGACTGCACCTGGCGCTTGTTGGTCTGATGCAATGGTTTCCAACTGAAGCCGATTGTATCCCCCGAGGGGACATATGACAATGTCTAGAGACATTTTTAGTTGTTGCAACCACAGGGGAGGGGTGTCCTACTGGCACCTAGTGAGTAGAGGCCAGGCATGCTGCTAAACATCCTTCAGTGCACAGGACGACCCCTGCAACACAGGGTTATCCAGCTCCAAACGTCCTCAATGCTGAGGCAGAGAACCCCTGGTCTGATGCGAAAGCTCTTTGTAGATGGAGTTGGTCTGTTCCTCGCATCTATCTCAGCGTGGGATGGGAAGCGGTATGGCTAATCTGGTACCCCTCATTGGTGGCCATAAAAAGAAGAGGGGGTGGTGAAAAGGCAAAAAATTGGGGGGTGGGAATGACCCCAAAGGGAGGCTCAGGCGAATCTTCCAAGGTAGATGGAAGGAGAAGGGCAGAGTTTTTCATTTCAAGTCAACTCTTACGTAAAGAGTGGTTTCCTTAAGCACTTAATTACACGTTTATTTCCCTAAGGAACTCTTGAGGCAGGGGAGACTTGCTTAAATTATGGGGACAGAGGCTGTACACAGGGCTTTAATGGGGCTAGAAAAATTTTCTGTTTCTTTTGAAGGAGACTTGGGAGGAAGGGCAGGGCAGATTCCTCTCCCAAGTGCTGGGGATGTGGGAGGGAGGAGCAAACTAGGAACAGGCAGGCGGGCAGAAAGAGCGAGGACTGCTTGCATGGCCTAGCAGGTGAGGATGAGAGAGGAGACATGAGCTTTGGTGTAGCTTCAAGCCTCGTGCCTTTCTCTCCCCATCCTGGTAAGCCCTCAGAATGCAGGCAAGGGGTTTAGGAAGTGGGCCATTCATACTCTTCCCACCCATTCCCTTCACATGAAACACGCATATGCATGGAGACACACACACATATATGCGTGCACACACACACACCCCTTTGGCACGTGCTCTGGTTTGCACCAGGAAACAGAATGGGGCTGTGCTGTTGGGGAAGGAGCGAATGAGGGAGGGCAGGGTAGTTGGGACCTTTGGTGAGACAGAGTAAGAGTTTCAGTGTGTCCTCTTTGTGCTATTTTTCATTCCTCTGTTGCAGCCTGAATACCTGGAATTTGTGGGTTTCTTCTCTTTGGGAGATGTCCTTACCTGGTAGGTAGGGACCGAGGGGGTAAATAGAGAGAAGGAACTGATTGCTCAGATTTGAAACATAGATGAAAATTGGGGACAGGGCATCTTATAGCCTCTCTCTTTTAGACGGGCAAGACTTCAGCTGATATCCTTTTTGTTTAAGGTGAGTTGGGGAGGGGTGGCTTGGGTGGGCGGTAGTGGCAGGGAGAAAGAAGTAGTGAGGAGCAGGTGGCCAGGCCTGGCTCTGGTCGAGGCTACAACAGATGAGGTCTACAGGGGAACCCTTGACCCCTCCCTACTCTGTCTCCAGTGCAACAGGAACGCTTGTCTATCGCAGTACCCATTACCTGGGGCTGGACTCCGTCTGTGCCCATCTTTTCCAGGAGCTGAGAGCAGCAATCACGTCTCATTTGACTGGGTAGTCTCTGCATCTAACAGAGCCTGGTACACATAGGCACTGAGTACACATTTCATGATGAGTTTCTACCTTATTCAGCCCAGCCTGCTACAGCAGGAGAGGTGATAGGAATTCAGGCAGATGTTAGAGCAAAAAGCATCTATCTGGCTGGTGTATGCCATTCCTCCCATCTCTCGGAAGCCCAAAGTGTGGTGGTGCTGGCAGGATGGGGTCCGACAGGGCAGAAGTGAAGACAACATCTGAGAAATGAGGCCAAGATTAACAGCCCTGGAGCTCTTCATTTAATTAGCAAATATCTGCTCTGCATAGCCGCCCAGACTGGCTCAGTTCAAGCATCCCCTAGCCTGAGCTTGTGGGGCAGCAGAATTGGCCGGAGGTCCCGGACAAGCTGAGCAGCACCTGAGGCTGACAAGAGGTGTCCAGCCCTGGAGAGATGGGGACAGTAGTTATCTGTGAGCACGACATCCAGGCCATCTCTGTCCCCACAGGGACAAGGGTGACACACGTGTGGCAGATAGACTGATACTGAGGAGCCCTCCTGGCCTGTAAGTGTCGGAGATCTGGAGATGAGGGTGGGGGTGGGATGCTTGGCTACTGAGGACCTGAAACCTTTTCATTGGCCAGCTCCCTGGAAACCACATCAAATGTTGTCAGGGAGGAGATACACAGAATTTCAGCATCTTCCAATCGCTGAAGATGCTTGTTGTAGATCTGGCCCATCCTTCCATTTTCTAGTAGTGTCACCTTGGGCCTCTCTGAGCCTTAGGCATCTCGTCCAAAGAAGAGGGATGGCCCATTTGCCTTTTCTATATCACAGAGCTACTGTGAGGATCAAATAAGTTGATGTGTGGGAGTGCTTTGTAAAGTGCCATGCAACGTGAGCTGGTTCTTAGAAGTCATTTATTCAGGGGAGCAGTACAGCCTCCCCGCACCCTGTCCTTCAGTGGAGACCCAGCCATCCCTCAATTAGGACCTGCCTGCAGGTAGGTGGGCTATTTCAGTCTCTCCAGCCAGTGGGAGCTAGAGTGTTTAATACTTTAGTCCACTTCTCTTTGTCTCTGGCCCCACCTACCACACAGGGCAGGGGAGAGGGGGCAGAAAGGTGTTGAGGCCCCTTATTTAGTTCGCTGATAGAACTGGAAGACTGCTTTCTCCTGCTCGTAGGTCTCGATGGAGCCGGGTCGAAGGCGCCGGATTTCAGCGATGGCGTCTCCTGCAGCCAAGCGCCGCTCCTTCACCAGGTAACAGGCCAGCATGGTGCCGGTGCGGCCAAAGCCCAGGGCACAGTGCACTGCCACGGCCTGTGAAAAGGGAGCTTGGTGGGTAGGAGCCCGCGCCCTCCCTAACACTCTGCTGCCCCTCATTTGGGCTGGTCACCCCACAGCTGCTGCTTCTGCGTCAGGCCCAGGGCTCTGTGCACTGGGTCATGTAATCAGAAGGCAGAAGTGATATCAAAGTCAGGGAGGGCTGTCCCCTCACCCGGGTGGCTAGGAGGTCTCTGAAGTGGATGGTTCACGAGCTGGGCTCCTGGCCTGCCTCCCCACAACTGTCCACCTGTGCTGTCCAATACAGAAGCCACAAGTCATGTGTGGCTACGGTGTACTTGAAATGTGGCCAGTCCAAATAGAGATTTGGTGTTACAAACACCAGGGTTTGAAGACGCAGTGCAAAAAATGAATGAAAATACCTCCTTAAGAATTTCTTTTATATTGAGATTATACGTTGAAATGATAATAATAATTTTGATTTACTGGGTTAATACTCCCCACATTAACTTCATCTGCCTTTTTTTTCCTTTTTAAAAATGGGACTGGGCTAGAAAATTTAAAATTACATACACGGCTCCATTATATTTGGACAGCATTGCTCTAGAAAACAGTAAACAGCCTCCGTATGACTTCAACACCCACCTCTCCCAAGTCTGCCCATCTTTCTCCTCCTCGACTCACAGTATTAGCGGGGTGCCCGCTGCCTCTCCCCAAGCCCACTCCACACTGCTCTGCCTTCGCTCCCATTCCTCCCATTTAGCCTCCCCTCCCCGCCGTGGCTTTAGGTCCTTGTAGCACCCTTGCCTCACTGTCTTCCCCCCACAGCTGTCCCGCAGCCCAGCTATTGTCCCGACCCTGGTGGCCCCAGCTCTGCCCGTGTGCCCCGCTGACCCCGCCCGGCCCCGCCCTCCCCGCTGACCTCTCCCCGGGCGTTGGCCTCGTCCACGAGATGCACGAAGCGGTCGATCTGGTCTGGCGCCGGCGGACAGAAGTCCGGGATGCGCAGTCGGTGCAGAGTGAGCTCGGGGCAGCTGTCACTGTGAGGGGGCCCGCGCTCCGTCAGCGACACCAGGTGCCGCACGCCCCGGTCCAACAGGAACTGGTAGTGGGCGGGGAGCCGCGGCAGCGCCAGCCCTGCCAGCCGGCCCGGGAGCACCCAGGAGAAGTTGGGGGGCTGCACGCCCATTGCTGGGGGAGGGCACAGGGCCGGGGTCAGAGGGGGCCAGGCCGCCCCGCCCCCTCGTCCCCTCGTCCCCTGTCCTGCGGGGCCCGGTAACCCGCCACCTACCAGGCCCTTGCTCCACCTGGCCACGTGGTCTGCGGGCCGCCGCCCGGTGACGCTCGGCCCCGCCGCCGGGGATTGGCCGAGCCGCGAGGGGGCGGGGCTGGAACGCGGAGCCCGGGCTCTGAGCGACACCGAGAAGCGCCGCGATCCCCAATGGGCGGGATTATCGCGGCCCAAAGAGCCGAGGAGGAAGCCTAGAATGAGTTAGGAATTGTTCTCGGAGGACGGAGCAACCCGGGGTCCGGCTCTGCTGCTCCCTGGCGGTGTGTCGGAGCTGTTGCATCCCTCTTTACATTGGGTGCACAGGGTCCACGAGATGACAAATTTATTTTAGCCCACGGGGAGAAATCTCCTTTCCAATGACTAGTCATTATCAGAGACTTTTGGAAAAAGAAATTACTACCGCACAGGCAGTTATTCTCATTTTTCCATTGCTGGAACTATTAAAAAATTCTGGGCTGCCATCTGTTGCCCTGAAATCTTACCCAGGGTAATAATTATAGAAATAATAATAACAGTCACCACCAACAAAATAATTAACATTTATTGAGCATCTACTATGTGCCAGATACTCTTCTAAGCACTTTACATGTATTAACTCATTTCATCGCCTCAATAATCTTATGAGGTAGGTGATCTAGGTAATGCCATTTTATAGATGAAAACAGTGAGGCACTGGAGAGATTAATAAACTTGGCCAACACATGACTGCAGGCTCTAGAACCTTTAACAACACAGTACTGTTTCCCAAAGTTAAACAAAATTACTTCCTTGTCACATAACCACCCTCATACCCCCAAATGTCATCTGAGTTAAACACCTGTGGGTTTTCTTAATTTTTATTCATATACTCATATTTCTTCCCATTTCAAGTTTTCCTGGCTCCCTGGGTCACCTTCCCTTGGGCAGGCTAGAGTTTTTCACTGTTGTTCTTATAAGGTTGGGACCTAGATCCGAACACACTGTTTCAGCTGTGATCTGACCAGTCCGTATCCTCATTTGAATAATGTGCTTCTAGTGATGCAGACTAAATATTATTATGAAAATAGTTAACCCTTATTGAATTTACTAATGTACCAGGCCCTGTGCCAAGTGCTTTCTGGAAGAACCACATGTGGAAGATATTTTTGTACCCTTTCTGTACGTGAGTAATCTGAGGCTTAGAGAAGTTGGTTAACTTGGCCAAGGACACAGTGATCCAAGCCCAGTGCATTTCACCGGGAAGGTTTACTTCCCCCCCTCTGCCCCACCTACCCCTGCCACTCACAGTTGACCATTTAAGCTTCTGGCTCCAGCAGAATGGAAAGGAATTTCTCTTCCCCCAAAGTTCAAAGCCTGCTCTGACCCCGTGAAAAATGCACTTAACATTTACCCAGATAACTCTTTCCAGGTTCCGGGAGCTGCCAAATCTCCCCTTTTCTCCCCTTCCGGACAATCACAGCCCTGATTAAGCCCTTCCTGTTCGCACTCTCGTTTCCCGCATAACTCCCTATCATCCAGCCCGCTGCGATGTCTTCCTTTCCCTCCTTGCCAGCCCTGGCCTCTCAGTTACCAGTCACTCCGCCCCCACTTCTCCTCTCAGCCCAGTTGCTCTCCAGGATTGCTGGACGCACTGCCTCTGGAGACAAGGCTCCAGCACTTGCTCCTCTCCGGTCCATCTTTTCTTAGTCCCTTTGCCTCGCTGTCCTTCCTTTGCTCCCTCCACTCTCCGGGGAAAGACTTCCCCGCCCTCCTGTGCCCCTTCCTTGCCTCCTTGATATCCAGCTCAGAGCCCATCTTCTCCAGAAGGAAGACATTTTTGGGGGAGACAGAGATTCTTTTCTTCCCTAAGCCTTCTAGCAGTGATTCCCACCCCCTCATGTGAGTCTCTGTGGGGCTAGCAATGTATCCATCAACCACTGAGGCCCCCCTGTGTGAAGGCCAGTTGACTCCCTTTTCAGGAATTCCTTCCTCTCTGTGGCTCTGCCCTCCCTTCCAACAGACCCAGGGTAGAAAGGGCCCAGGGTCCCTGCTTTGAGCTGTGTTCTATTCATTGTCAAGGGTGCCATTTGATTTTTTTTGTCTTTGGTCCAGGGGGCCTCAAAATCTAAGGGAAAACCCTCTCTGATGGTTTTCTGGCTCAAACTCCTGCAAATAAAATGCCAGCACCTCATGCCCCTCTCCCCACGTACATGATATTGACCTTCTTTTCCTCTCTCTTCTGTACAGGGTTACCGGACCCTCTGGAAGACTTAGGCATTTTCTGTACTCCCATCTCACCTTGTATAAATGTGTCCTCTCAGAATAGCAGTTATTTCATTGGATTGGAGTTAACTGTTTGCATAGAAGCCAAGACTGCATCGTTCTGTCTTTGAATTCCACCATCTACTATGGAGCCTGATACGTGGTTCCCAGAAATGTTAAATAAAGAAACGAATGGAAAATAGATGAGTAGAATGCACCGGGAAGACTGTGAATATACTTTTCTGGGAGTGAATGCAGGTCTCTAGGACTGTGTGACAGTGTGTATTTGTAGTTCTTTTTAGTTGCCTGGGTTTGAGGACTGTGCTGAGCATTGTGTGGTACCTCTTTGAGGTATACGTTTTATGTGTCTGTGCTTTTAAGGAAAGAATAACTGTGTCATTATGGTCCTGGCGAAGTCTAATTACTATTTTTGTAAAACTGGATAAATAAGCCCTATTCTTTCTAGAGCGCTGCTCCTGTGGCACGCATGTGTATGGCGATGTGTGTATGTGAGTGTGTTGGGGGACATATTCCTGGAGAACAATCTGTTGACACTGATGGTGGGCTGAGTAATAAGCTTAAGTAATTTCCCTGACTTCAAGGAATTTACAGCATACTTGGGGGGGATTTAGACTCAGGCGTAATTATTCTCAGAACATATAATAAAGTACCAAATTGCTCATCAAAGACAGTCAGATAATATATATTAAAAAGCTAATTGTGCAGTAAAAATAACAAGTGCTAAAGAAGTCAGTGGGGGAGAGATAAGCTTGGGGTTGGAACCACCAGAAAAATCTGATGAAGACAGAGATCTTCCTTTCAGTTTGTCTTCTGTCCATTGTAAAGCAGAGTAGAATAGTTTTAGGGCATCCTGGCTTCCCCTCCACCAGTTGACAAGGATATTTTGACGCATCCTTGTTCCTGTTGAGGTCCCAGTTCCCTGATTGGCTTGATGCCAGTGGCAGTTAGAGGGGAAGTTAGAGTCAGAGAATCCCTTCCTCCAGGTAGGTCCCCAACATCCCACTAAAGTGAAAGATTGCTTGGGTTCTGGTTCCTGTGGCCCTTGGACTACAGTTAGAATTCTCAGTGTCCTAAATATTCTGATTTTCCTACATCTAAACACACTTCAGCCCTGGGGCCCGATGATCTGGGAATTGGACCTAGGAAGAAGGATGGTGTGGCAGCTTCCAGGATGGCCCCAGTGAGCCAGCTCATGCCTGTGCTGTCCTCTCCACACTGGTGGGGCTGCTTTTTATCACCAGTAGGCTATTGGGGACATGATGGTGTGTGGCTTCCTAGGCTAGATCATAAAAGACATGGGTTTTGACTTGTTCTGTCTTGAAAAGAAGAGCTACCATGGGAGGCTCTTGGGAAGAAGCCGGGCACCGTGTAGTGAGGACACTCAGGCAGCCATATGGAGAGATCCATGCGGTGAGAAACTGAAGCCTCCCACCAACAGTCACGTAAGGGAACCAGCTATTTTGGAAGTGGATCCTCCAGCCACATCCAGACTTTAGTTGACTTACCCCAAATCTTGACTGTAACCTCATGGATTCCCTGAGCCAGAACCACCCCGCTAAGCCTCTCTTGAATTCCTTGCCCACAGAAACTGTGAGATAATAAATATTTATTCTTTTAAGCCCTCAAATTTTGGGGGTAATTTGTTATGCAGCAATAGGTAACTGCTAATACAGATGGAAATATTCAGTGTGAAGGAAAGAAGGAAAATAATTTCCGATAAACTCAAGAAGTGAAATAAAATTAAGGTTAATTTAAAAAGAAAGTGTTATACTATAAGCAGTTGTGGTCTAAGTGTGTGTGTGTTTGTGTGGAGTGTTATGATAGGTCAGTGCAAATTTTCCATATTTGGAGAACCATGCTGTGCAGGGGAAGCAACCAGAGTAGTTTGGGTATGGTTTTGTGTGTGTGTGGTGTTGGAAGTACAGGTTTATGTAGTATTTGTACAGTTAGAGATGATATACAAATTATTTAACAATGGTCATGGCATGCATGAGAAACAAACAATTAGAATGGAGCCTCTACCCATCAGAGCTATTACCTATAAACAGATGGTAAAGCTACTTTAGTGTCGATTGGATGCGTGTTGGCCTTGAGTGCAGAGGCTCTGAAATGGTCTGGGGTGTGGCCAGATTAGCTTGGACATTTTAATATAGGTCTTTCCACAAGATGGCACTGATAGCTTTTCCTTGTTTCTCTTTGTCTTGTTGAAAAATTTGTGATTTGTATACTGTTGCAGAACATACCATCACTGAAATATCACAGTTTACTAGTTGATTTCTTGTGCTTTTGACAATTCTACAGCCTTTATGGCACTTAAAATTATGTGTTTCTTTTAGACCACTCCAGGAGCACACTGAAACTTTAAGTTGGGCTGTTGGGGGACGCTGCCTTATACCAGATACTATCATCATGGGAGCTGGAGATGGGGAAGGAGGTGAGGGGGGGGCTTTGGTTTTTGAAAAGCCATTCAGCAAAGGCTGGAGAGAGCAGAATCAAGAGGGAGCACTTAGTTAGGTACTAGACCTTTGAGGTTTCTAAACTGCCTTATTATTTCTTGTCTCTTTCCTCCTTAAGTCTTCTGTCTGCAAAACTACAGCCCACATAGGTTCACTTTCCAGTGCAGATGCAACAAATATGGTGAATCAATGGACCTCAGGAATTGTCAGCATCTGGTTTTCTTTTGGCACCTTCCTAAACTCCTGGCTGTTCCCTCAATCTTCAGACCAGGGCTTCTCGAAGCGTGGTCCACCGTCAGCCTCATGT